TGTGCGGGGGCACCGGCTAGTTGAGGTAGTTGAAGTAATATGTACATGTGGGTAGAGTTAAAGTGACTATGCATAAATAATTAACAGAGTAGCAGCAGCGTAAAAGGATGGGGTGGTGTGGCAGTGCAAATAGTCCGGGTAGCCATGATTAGCTGTTCAGGAGTCTTAGGGTTAAGTGCCTTGCTCAAGGGCACATTGACACGTTTTCACCTAGCCGGCTCTAGGATTCGAACCAGCGACCTTTCGGTTCCTGTCCCAACGCGGCCTCTTAACCGCTAGGCTACCCCTATGCAGATACTACACTAGCCAATTTTTTTATTATGCAAATAAGTTACTTTGGAGGCATGTGTGAAGCTACTTTGGTGGTATAAACACTAGTGCCTTGTGCATATCAGTAGTAATGTATTCATGCTAAATGAATAATACATCATTTAAAGTGATTATATTAACATTAAATGTGTTTATTGCTTGTCAAATAATTATTATTTCTAGAGACTATCGTTTCCAAAGAAGGGTTATTAAATTAAGGCTTTTGGGCAAGTAACCTATAGACAATAAAATTATAATATTTCATGTTAATACAATATTGTGCAATTATCCTACCAACAGATTTCAGGCCCACACACACACATTTAGAAAATGATATCACAATACTGAACAAAAATATAAACGCAACATGCAACAATTTTAAAGATTTTACTGAGTTACAGTTCATATAAGGAAATCAGTCAATTGAAATGAATTCATTAGGCCCTAATCTATGGATTTCACATGACTGGGCTGTGGGTGCAGCCATGGGTGGGCCTTGGAGAGGCCCACCCACTTGGCAGCCAGGCCCACCCACTGTGGAGCCAGGCCCAGCAAATCAGAATGAGTTTTTCCCCACAAAAGGGCTTTATTACAGACAGAAATACTCCCCCCACCACCCCACCTCTGACGATCCCGCAGGTGAAGAAGCTGGATGTGGAGGTCCTGGGCTGCAGTTTCCTGGGCTGCCAAATTCTCTAAAACGACATTGGAGGCAGCTTATGGTAGAGAAATTAACAATCAATTATTTGGCAACAGCTCTGGTGGACGTTCATGCAGTCAGCATGCCAATTGCACACTCCCTCAAAATCTGTGGCATTGTGTTGTGTGACAAAACTGCACATTTTAAAGTGGCCTTTTATTGTCCCCGGCACAAGGTGCACCTGTGTAATAATCATGCTGTTTAATCAGCTTCTTGATATGCCACACCTGTCAGGTGGATGGATTATCTTGGCAAAGGAGAAATGCTCACTAACAGGGATGTAAACAAATTTGTGCACAAAATTAGAGAAATAAGCTTTTTGTGTGTATGGAACATTTCTGGGATTTTTTATTTCAGCTCATGAAACATGGGACCAACACATTACATGTTGCGTTTATATTTTTGTTCAGTGTAAAAAAAACTTGAACATTGCCTTTATTAAAATATTTATAAGGTGCAGTGTTGCCTGTGTAGACATAGCCTACCTGGTCATGATATGATACCCTACTTATCAACCATTTAGGCTACATTACTTAGATAATGGGATCAGCTAAACTATTATCACAGACCCTCTCCATTTTAATCAAACACACTACTTATTCACCGATTAGGGTTCAGTAGCTACTGCATCCTTCAAATTATAGGCTATATTCTAACACCACTCTTGAAATCTGATACATTTTTTGTCATAAATCCGTCTGTTACGCACATTTTTTATTTATTTTAATGCGCTCAACTATGTGATCAGACATTCTGATCCTCGTGCAGGTCCTTATTATAGCATAATAAACTCAATACAAAGGTCAACTAACAAAATGCTGTCATCTAGTGGTGGTTCTTAGAAACAATCTGGCATCTAAAAAATTAAAATGATCACTTGACTGCTTTTACACAGGCACCGCAATACTGAGCTTTTGACCAATTATTGGCAAAAGAGCTAATCTGATTGGTCGAAATAAGACAATTGGGCTACCTGTGTAAACGCAGCCATAGTGACATAGGCCTATCTATCAGCGTTATGGCAGCGACTGTAGAATATTGCACATAAATAACGGAAAACATTGACAAAATGTCTGTCAGACTCAGATGCTGAGGGCGATGCAATAACATCTGTTAACCTCGGTTCAGTTATGTGTAGAAAAACATGCTATTTTCCACTAAATCATCACTGCGCTTCCCAACGACGTCTCAATCCGGTTTACACTTTGGGCTATGTTTAGTGCATTGAGTGTGAGCCAGTTTCGGGGGTCGAACAGGGTTCCCTCCCCATCAAAACTCCGCTATAGAGCCCATGGGACTCGTTCAATCCAGGAGCAGTGAGCATATTTTGGACCAGGCGCATCTCCGTTTAAACACGTAGGCCTAGGCTAATGCACAACATGCTTGTCAAGTGCGAATAATTTACAACAGGTGGGATTCATCCTGTTTCTTATCCCAATAAACAATCTATTTGTCTTTCCTCATAGCACAAGTTCAGCTGTGGTAAGAACGTTAAAGATTCAGCTGTCCACTTGTAACTTGACAGTCTGCTGAGGAACTGAACTACTCATTTTCGATTCAGTTTCGTTGTTCCATTTTAGGCTAAATGGCAAGTTTTAAAGTGGGAACACATGCTGTTTCTTTTGTTAGGCATGCATAGCTTAGCCAATTAGCCCATTTAACTTTTCAGAATCGCCCATCATAATGACATTAAGTCTTCTACTCTTAGGATGAAAACGTTGAGCTTGAATGACCAGACATACACAGGTTTTCTGAATTTACAGATCAGAAAATGATCTTGGGTTGAGTTGAAGCCATATCCATTTTACTACACTACCACATGTTACAACCAAGCCATGACATTTGATGGAAACGTTACCTTTCAGTTGCCTGTAGGGGGGAACCCCAATCTAATGGCAGCACAAAATCTGAGAAAACACATCGATCACCTGATCTGTATTGGATGTTCCAGATGAGCCAGCTGCAGTTAGTCTATTGGAGATCGTTGGAGTTGGCATTGAGGCGATGCTCGGGTTTAATCTCTGACCTCAATAAGGGCCTAAACCATTAGGGAGGACGTTCCGCTGATAGCAGGCAGGGCCAGGCAGACAGGAAATCCAGCGGGTGGTCCTGTGGTGGTCTGATAGGCGACACCTGCACTGGATTTGATATTCATTTCACACATTAAAGCTGGAATCCTTAATGGTGAAACTGCCACATCCGTTTGCGTTATTACAACAACAAAGTTACTGCAAACAAGAAACCGTTTTTTCCCCCTTGGTCATCATTGCACTGCAAAAAATGTTTTTGCCCTGATACGTGACGCTCCCCACCTCTGCCTGGTCAACAAAACAATAACAATGGCCGTGGGGCGGACAGTGTTGCCGTTTCCCCCTACTGCAGAGTCCATCTTTAAAGGGGAAATTCAAAGGGACATTAAAGCGGAATGGCAAGTTAGGAATTTGTCATATTTTTGCCACAATTGTATCATGAATAACCTTTAGAGCAGAATTGCTACTACACTGATGATTTTTTGTCATAACGTAGAAATAATACCCATTTCATCTCTATAATCTAGCACATTTTCCACCCAGAAACATTTTATTTCATTACTATTTTAAAAAGCATTTAACGGGAATTTCCCTTTTTTTTGTTGCCAAATTCATTGCATCCAGTCAACGTTTCACATGACACTGCAAATCACAAGCAAATCTATGTCCTAATCAAAAGGTGCAGCATAGGTCTCAAAAAAGCATAAACATTAATATTCTATGTACCGAAAACAGTTCCCTTTCACTTACTGAGAGCTTGGTAGGCTGCTCAACTAACCTATTTCATCTATGGCATAGCCTTAGGGATAGCGCCAGCAATATTCACAAACGCTACCCAATGATAGAAAAAGATATACCAAGAAGCATGTGCTTTTTACAGCATTTACATGTGATAATGTGCCAGTCAATGAATATATGAATATAGCCAAAACCATTGCAATCATGCAGGAATGATTAACTCATAGATCCCAAATCACACTTGAGGTACTGCATTGATATTGGCATTGGTACTCTCACAAAGTCAGTCATTCTGCAACAAGTATTCAGTGGGGAACATTTCAGCTAACTGTGGTCGCTGGTAAAATGTACAGTGCAATAATAGAAAACCATTAAAAAAAGCATGAAACCAATAGCTCGCAAGTTCCATGTGCAATATCTTGTCTATTCGCTCTATTCAATCTGTAAAACTGAAGCATTACAGATTCCGCGATAGAAATGTAAAGGTAATTTCCGATTGAGCCGACATATGCAGCGTTTACCGAGAATGTAGTCTCCGCTAAAGCGGGAGCATTGGCATTTGTACTGACCTCTTATTTCTGACTTCCCCTGGTATGAAATCATGGACTTGTATTAACTTAGGTCTCTATTCAACCCACACCGTTCAGCTTTACAGCGTGATTTACATTTTTTAATCAATATTCCCTTTTTTTTAATGACTTAAACAAAATCGTTTAATCTGAGCAATTGTATTAGTATAAAATAATATAATCCCCCCCCCCAAAATTGCATACAATATAGCTCACTATTTGTATTATTTATTTTATAGTGGTTTTTGCTCATCTTTATAAAGGGTGCCAATAATTTCAGTCGTGAATATCTACCAATGACCACAGTATGGCACTCTCTATCAAACGATGTTATGCTTCACCTTTTGGTGATTTATAAAATGTCTGCCACCATTGACACACACATTTAACTGATGCTGCAGCATGACATGAAGAAGGCTATTCCAAGATCATATCAACATGTCACCTGAAATGTACTACCAGGAGTGAACAACACGGTTTTAAAGAGTGTCTTGTACAGTAATCAGAGAAATGTGTTTTCTTCATGTCACACACACACACACAAATGGTGTGGTTAGGGGTATGGTGAAGTTATGTCAGACCCCCCCACCCCACCACACCACACACACACACTTTCAGCATGTTGCGACATCATCATGTCAGGTCAGTCAGTTAGGTCTCCTCCTGCACCCTTCCCTCATCCAGCAGTCTCGCCCTCTCTGCCGGGTTGCCCTCCTCTTCCTCCACCATGCTGGCGCAGCACGGAATCCTCGCCAGCAGAGGGCGATGAAGTCCATTATACAGCGCTGCACCCACCAACAACACAATGAAACCCAACACCTGTAACCCATGGAACTGCTCCCAGCCCAGAGCCAGACTGACCACCCAGATCACCACGGTGCGCAGACTGTCCAGCACCATGCGCGTGGTGGCGCTGATTTCCTTGGTGACGGAGATGCCGGCGAAGTTGAAGAAGGCGATAGACACTGTGTTGCCGAGCAACGCCAGGACGATCATGGGGTTGTTGCCGATCTGGCAGAAGGCGTCCAGCGCGTCCTCGAGGACGTGGCGGGGGTTGTTGCTGAAGCTCCCCACCGGGACATAGAAGAAAGGGATGAGGAGGAGCGAGAGGATGAAGAAGCCAAAGAACCCTGGAGAGAAGAAGAAGAAGGGTGGAAATGAACGGAGGCAGGGTGAATTACTAACGCTCTACAAACATTCCGTCCTTGATACGGCGCTAAAGGTGACAACACAGACATTATGATTATTTCCACAGAAACAAAAAAGAGAAATGTCAAATAGGTCACTAAGTACTGCCTACACATGTACAAATCTAATTGCTATGCTTGCATATCTTCAGACTGTAAGCTTCACTCTCAAAGCTGTACAAACACCACTGCAACATTCTGTATATAGAGTTATACATTAACCCAATGTATACACCCATAAATGTATACGTTCACTGTACCTTCAGTGCCCACTGCCCGTAAAGGATGAACGTCGTGCTTGTAGACAAACTTCTCCTCCAGAACCATCTGGACAGCAGCAATGACCTGGGCCATGATGATCAGAAGGTCACCTGGGGGTAAGAAGAGATGGGTAAGGCCTTTAAAATGGTAGTTCCTCATTGGACATTTGTTATGGCAAGATGTTGCTGCTGAGAGAAAACCAGTCAATTGAGAAGCAAAATGTAAATAATAAAAAGTCAATATTGACTCCAACTCAGTCATGGGCCTTGTTTGAATTGAAGACAATTCAAATATATCCTTCCTTCCCATTTTCCTTGGGGTAATCACTGATTAGACAAGACTGGACTGCTGAAATCAATGCTTTGGAAAGGTTATTTATTTTTTAGGGGTAGATCAGCTTTAATATTGCAGATAGATTGTGGCTTCTATCAACGTAATTGTCTGCATCATTTCCAATCCCCCATATACACACACACACACACACACACACACATATATATATATTATATATAGTGAGGGAAAAAAGTATTTGATCCCCTGCTGATTTTGTACGTTTGCCCACTGACAAAGAAATGATCGGTCTATAATTTTAATGGTAGGTTTATTTGAACAGTGAGAGACAGAATAACAACAACAAAATCCAGAAAAACGCATGTCAAAAACATTATAAATTGATTTGCATTTTAATTAGGGAAATAAGTATTTGACCCCTCTGCAAAACATGACTTAGTCCTTGGTGGCAAAACCCTTGTTGGCAATCACAGAGGTCAGACGTTTCTTGTAGTTGGCCACCAGGTTTGCACACATCTCAGGAGGGATTTGTTCCACTGCCCTTTGCAGATCTTCTCCAAGTCATTAAGGTTTCAAGGCTGACGTTTGGCAACTCGAACCTTCAGCTCCCTCTACAGATTCTCTATGGGATTAAGGTCTGGAGACTGGCTAGGCCACTCCATGACCTTAATGTGCTTCTTCTTGAGCCACTCCTTTGTTGCCTTGGCCGTGTGTTTTGGGTCATTGTCATGCTGGAATACCCATCCACGACCCATTTTCAATGCCCTGGCTGAGGGAAGGAGGTTCTCATCCAAGACTTGACGGTACATGGCCCCGTCCATCGTCCCTTTGATGCGGTGAAGTTGTCCTGTCCCCTTAGCAGAAAAACCCCCAAAGCATAATGTTTCCACCTCCATGTTTGACGGTGGGGATGGTGTTCTGAGGGTCATAGGCAGCATTCCTCCTCCTCCAAACACGGCGAGTTGAGTTGATGCCAAAGAGCTCGATTTTGGTCTCATCTGACCACATCACGTTCACCCAGTTCTCCTCTGAATCATTCAGATGTTCATTGGCAAACTTCAGACGGGCCTGTATATGTGCTTTCTTGAGCAGGGGGACCTTGCGGGCGCTGCAGGATTTCAGTCCTTCACGGCGTAGTGTGTTACCAATTGTTTTCTTTCTGACTATGGTCCCAGCTGCCTTGAGATCATTGACAAGATCCTCCCGTGTAGTTCTGGGCTGATTCCTCACCGTTCTCATGATCATTGCAACTCCACGAAGTGAGATCTTGCATGGAGCCCCAGGCCGAGGGAGATTGACAGTTATTTTGTGTTTCTTCCATTTGCGAATAATCGCACCAACTGTTGTCACCTTCTCACCAAGCTGCTTGGCGATGGTCTTGTAGCCCATTCCAACCTTGTGTAGGTCTACAATCCTGTCCCTGACATCCTTGGAGAGCTCTTTTGTCTTGGCCATGGTGGAGAGTTTGGAATCTGATTGATTGTTTCTGTGGACAGGTGTCTTTTATACAGGTAACAAACTGAGATTAGGAGCACTCCCTTTAAGAGTGTGCTCCTAATCTCAGCTCGTTACCTGTATAAAAGACACCTGGGAGCAAGAAATCTTTCTGATTGAGAGGGGGTCAAATACACTGCTCAAAAAAATAAAGGGAACACTTAAACAACACAATGTAACTCCAAGTCAATCACACTTCTGTGAAATCAAACTGTCCACTTAGGAAGCAACATTGATTGACAATACATTTCACATGCTGTTGTGCAAATGGAATAGACAACAGGTGGAAATTATAGGCAATTAGCAAGACACCCCCAATAAAGGACTGGTTTTGCAGGTGGTGACCACATACCACTTCTCAGTTCCTATGCTTCCTGGCTGATGTTTTGGTCACTTTTGAATGCTGGCGGTGCTTTCACTCTAGTGGTAGCATGAGACGGAGTCTACAACCCACACAAGTGGCTCAGGTAGTGCAGCTCATCCAGGATGGCACATCAATGCGAACTGTGGCAAGAAGGTTTGCTGTGTCTGTCAGCGTAGTGTCCAGAGCATGGAGGCGCTAACAGGAGACAGGCCAGTACATCAGGAGACGTGGAGGAGGCCGTAGGAGGGCAACAACCCAGCAGCAGGACTGCTACCTCCGCCTTTGTGCAAGGAGGAGCAGGAGGAGCACTGCCAGAGCCCTGCAAAATGACCTCCAGCAGGGCACAAATGTGCATGTGTCTGCTCAAACGGTCAGAAACAGACTCCATGAGGGCCCGACGTCCACAGGTGGGGGTTGTGCTTACAGCCCAACACCGTGCAGGACGTTTGGCATTTGCCAGAGAACACCAAGATTGGCAAATACGCCACTGTGCTCTTCACAGATGAAAGCAGGTTCACACTGAGCACATGTGACAGAGTCTGGAGACGCCGTGGAGAACGTTCTGCTGCCTGCAACATCCTCCAGCATGACCGGTTTGGCGGTGGGTCAGTCATGGTGTGGGGTGGCATTTCTTTGGGGGGCCGCACAGCCCTCCATGTGCTCGCCAGAGGTAGCCTGACTGCCATTAGGTACCGAGATGAGATCCTCAGACCCCTTGTGAGACCATATGCTGGTGCGGTTGGCCCTGGGTTCCTCCTAATGCAAGACAATGCTAGACCTCATGTGGCTGGAGTGTGTCAGCAGTTCCTGCAAGAGGAAGGCATTGATGCTATGGACTGGCCCGTCCGTTCCCCAGACCTGAATCCAATTGAGCACATCTGGGACATCATGTCTCGCTCCATCCACCAACGCCACGTTGCACCACAGACTGTCCAGGAGTTGGCGGATGATTTAGTCCAGGTCTGGGAGGAGATCCCTCAGGAGACCATCCGCCACCTCATCAGGAGCATGCCCAGGCGTTGTAGGGAGGTCATACAGGCACGTGGAGGCCACACACACTACTGAGCCTCATTTTGACTTGTTTTAAGGACATTACATCAAAGTTGGATCAGCCTGTAGTGTGGTTTTCCACTTTAATTTTGAGGGTGACTCCAAATCCAGACCTCCATGGGTTTCCATGGGTTGATACATTTGATTTCCATTGATAATTTGTGTGATTTTGTTGTCAGCACATTCAACTATGTAAAGAAAAAAGTATTTCATAAGATTATTTCATTCATTCAGATATAGGATGTGTTATTTTAGTGTTCCCTTTATTTTTTTGAGCAGTGTACTTATTTCCCTCATTAAAATGCAAATCAATTTCTAACATTTTTGACATGCGTTTTTCTGGATTTTTGTTGTTGTTATTCAAATAAACCTACCATTAAAATTATAGACTGATCATTTCTTTTTTCAGTGGGCAAACTTACAAAATCAGCAGGGGATCAAATACTTTTTCCCTCACTATATACACTGCTCAAAAAAATAAAGGGAATACTAAAATAACACATCCTAGATCTGAATGAATGAAATAATCTTATTAAATACTTTTTTCTTTACATAGTTGAATGTGCTGACAACAAAATCACACAAAAATTATCAATGGAAATCAAATGTATCAACCCATGGAGGTCTGGATTTGGAGTATATATATATATATATATATATATATATATATATATATATATATATATATATATATATATATATATATATATATATATATATATATATATATATATATATATATACACACACACACACACACACACATACACAGCTGCGGAAGAAAATTAAGAGACCTCTGCAAAATTATCAGTTTCTCTGGTTTTACTATTTATAGGTATGTGTTTGGGTAAAAATAACATTTTTGTTTTATTCTATAATCTCCCAAATTCCAAATAAAAATATTGTCATTTAGAGCATTTATTTACAGAAAATGACAACTGGTCAAAATAACAAAAAAGATGCAGTGTTGTCAGACCTCGAATAATGCAAAGAAAATAAGTTCATGTTCATTTTTAAACAACACAATACTAATGTTTTAATTTAGGAAGGGTTCAGAAATCAATATTTGGTGGAATAACCCTGATTTTCAATCACAGCTTTCATGCATCTTGGTATGCTCTTCACCAGTCTTTCACATTGATGTTGGGTGACTTTATGCCACTCCTGGCGCAAAAATTCAAGCAGCTCAGCTTTGTTTGATGGCTTGTGACCATCCATCTTCCTCTTGATCACATTCCAGAAGTTTTCAATGGGGTTCAGGTCTGGAGATTGGGCTGGTCATGACAGGGTCTTGATCTGGTGGTCCTCCATCCACACCTTGATTGACCTGGCTGTGTGGCATGGCGCATTGTCCTGCTGGAAAAACCAATCCTCAGAGTTGGGAAACAATGTCAGAGCAAAAGGAAGCAAGTTTTCTTCCAGGACAACCTTGTACGTGGCTTGATTCATGCGTCCTTCACAAAGACAAATCTGCCCAATTCCAGCCTTGCTGAAGCACCCCCAGATCATCACCGATCCTCCACCAAATTTCACAGTGGGTGCGAGACACTGTGGTTTGTAGGCCTCTCCAGGTCTCTGTCTAACCATTAGATGACCAGGTGTTGGGCAAAGCTGAAAATTGGACTCATCAGAGAAGATGACCTTACTCCAGTCCTCTATGGTCCAATCCTTAAGTCTTTTGCAAACCTCAGCCTGGCTCTTCTTTGCTTCTAATTGATGAAGGGCTTTTTTCTAGCTTTGCACGACTTCAGCCCTGCCCCTAGGAGCCTGTTTCAAACCGTCCTCGCCGTGCACTTCAACCCAGCTGCCGTTTGCCATTCTTTTTGTAGGTCACTTGATGTCATCCTACGGTTGTTGAGGGACATTTGAATGAGTTGGCAGTCATCCCGGTCAGTAGAGAGTCGTTTTCAC